CTTCGGTTTCTTTTCCAAAGTACGACAGAGTGACATCAGTCGACTGAGGGCTTGTCCCCGATTATTAGGGAGGCACGGCCTTGGACTGCGAAACGGTAGAGGAGCCACCCAACTATTGGAATCATCTTTCCTGAACTCCATGTTCATGATCTGGAGGAAGATTTCATCTTCGATGGAGGGTGCCATCTTATCGTCATCTTTTGAATGACTGAAGACCAGTTCACCTAGCTTTTGATGAGTAGAAGACAGATTGGCAGGAGATGTGAGCTGTGAGCTTACAAACTTCTCTTTGAAAATGAATCTGTTCCCACAAGGCTTGAAATAGCTGGGCCGGCCATTCTCAAGAACATTGGTTTTGAATGTGTTGACAGTTGGAAGGTGAGCCCCTCCGAGGCAGACGTCACCAACTATGACCCAACCCAAGTCCAGAAGTTGGGCATAGGGCTCGTTGTGCTTACCATTGCGCTGACAGCGGACCTTGTGTACTCGGATGATATCTCTACCAAGTAACAAAAGTATCTCAGCTGAATGGTCAAGAGGGGGAATCTTTTCAGCTATAGGCTTGAGATGCATGTGGCTACGTGCAGCCTCTGGAGTGGGGATTTCATCTCTATTATTAGGAATGAGGTTACATTCAATAAGAGTTGGCAGTGTCAGGTGAAGGTCTCCATCAGCGGACTCCATCATGAAACCAGAAGCCCTTCTTCCAGCAGTGTCTGTGATTCCTGAGCATGTTTTGAGGGTATAGGGGGAAACTTCACTCTGGATGTGAAACATGTCAAAGAATGCTGATCTGGCTAATGACACATTGCTTTGGTCATCTAGCATAACTTATGTCTTCACCTTTTGCTCTGGGTGACCCTTTGGATAGACATTGACCAGACAGATTTTTGAACACGATTTACCTTTAAGACCCTCACCACACACAGCTGTGGATGAAGATGTTGCTAGGTCGGTGATGCATTCAGTAGACTCCCCACCCTTCTCTGTCAATGGACGGGAACTTGTAATCCAAGGTGCTGATCCTGGATGAAGTGCTGAGATGTGCCGGTTACTGTCACATTCTGAGCAGTGGATGTCAGTCTTACACTCTTTAGCTTGGTGGGCTGTTGAAGCACAACATTTAAAACATATGTAGTTATCCAACAGAAAGCGCCTTCGCTCTGCAAGTGATTTCTCCCGAAAACCTCGACATTTTCTAAGGGAGTGAGGTTTCAGATGGAGAGGGCACTGTTTATCCAGATCTATGATGGATGCTTTGGTGGAATAAGAGGATGAGGGGTTTCCTACCTCAGTTTTACTAACTGATATATGAGGCTTGGATTTCCAGGGTTTAGAGAGTGATCCGTCACCTTTAAATGTAGCTAAGTTTGAGGTAGCAAAAACAAAGCTAGGATCATTTCTCATCTCTGCATAGTTGTACACAAAATTTACAAAGAATGAAAAAGGGGGATAGGGAACTTGGTGTTTCCTCTTATAGTGGGACCCCTGAGTAATCCACTGTTCCTGAACGTTATGGGGCAGTTTCTCCAATATAGGGTTTATTCCCCTTGCAGTGTCCAAAAAGGCGAGTCCTGGCAAATAGCCCTCTCTCTTTGCAGCTTCAATCTCTAGGAGCAGATCTCCAAGCTCTTGGAGCTTCGGATAATCTCTATTTGTAAGCTTTGGGAAGCTGTTCAATCTATTGAAGAGAGATGCTTCAATCGCTTCCGGAGATCCGTACCACTTGTCTAGTCTCTCCCAAAGCATGTCCAAACCTACAGATGGGTTGTTAATGTGGACTGCCTTTATCCTTTTAGCATGGTGTAGCGACTCCCCACCAAGCCACTTAATAAGCAAGTCCAGTTCTTCACTGGGTTTTAGCTGAAGTCCGTCCACAGCATTAACAAAGCTAGATTTCCAGGACAGATAACTAGCAGGCTGGCTATCAAACACTTTGAGTCCAGCTGTAACGAGATCTCGACGTGCCAGAAATACAGCCAACTCGGACATCCGTTGACCTTCTGGGCTCGAGTGGGCTGGAAGTTGGTTTGCTGAGACAGTATGGCAACGTGTATGAGTCATAGGAGCATTGTGACCTGCATGAGAGGCCTTAGAGCCAGGAAGATCTTTTGTGGGGTTAATTTGTTTCAGAACTTCTGCAGAGCAAGCTGGGGGACCAAACTGTTGCGTATCATAACTGACATGGTGAGCTTCAATATCTGGGAAACGATTATGTTGTGGTCCAGCAGCAGAATGTTCCATTTCTCCATTGTTATGAGCTGAAGTATGATACTGACTTACATTAAAATGGGTTTGGATGTACTCACTGGTGTGCTGTAAGGACTGCTTTGATGCTCGATCACGACTGGCTTTACTCCCAAGATCACAGCTTTCTAAATCTGCTGCAGCCTCAAAGACCTGAGCCTCTGCTGAGGCAGCCTCAGCCTCACACTCTTCTTTTAATGCATTCAGTGTGGCCTCAATGCGTGCCTTCTCCACTTCCATATCTATTTGACGTTTTGCATAAGCTGCTCGTGTGCGTGAGGCTTCTGCCTTGGCACGAGCTTTAGCAGCAGCATTGGCTGAGGACCTGCTTGAACTTGACTTTGAAGATGCGACTGAGGTACCACATTCTGACCTAACCTCGAGCTGCTGAGTGTCGGCATTGACAGGGTTTGAGCTTGACATTGCGTAATGCGGGCAGGTGGAAGTGTGTTTAATTCACATGAAAAAATGCTGCAGATGCAGAGGCCGTTTTACTCACTCTACGAATGGTGACTGAAAAGGGTGCTGCCGAGGTTTCTTCACAGCTTATTGACGGTCCATCTTTTCACTGTTCTGTCCTCACTAAGCGTTGTTCCCCTGAACGTGGGCTCAGCTATACAGACAGCTAAACACTCTCCTTTTCAAACTCCAAGGAACAGGCTGATATGTTGAGTTGGATGGTTTAATCAGGATAAAGTGTGAAACTGTTGACAAAATCAGAAATAAACAAAATATTGCATCAATACACAGATGACTTCTAAATATAAAATCAGTGCAAAAATGTACTTTTTAGATTTATGCATAATCTAAACATCACACAAATCAAATGATAAATTAGCTTTAACAGCCTCAAAGACCTGAGCCTCTGCTGAGGCTCAGGTTTTACATTTGTCAGTTAAATTTAAACTACAGCTTCCTAAAACAAAATAACAATGCACACATGTTGTTTATATAAGAAGAAACAATATAACTTACAGATGATGCCGCTTTTAAGCAAGTAAAGACATGGATGGCAACAGATGAGCCCATGTGTGACTGCTTTTGGCTAGATTCTTAGAAACATGGCATTCAGAAGGAAGTGACATCTAGAACATTGACCTCACATCCTGTCTAACTCAGGTTATCGAAATAAAATACACAAACCAGTCACTAGGGGGCAAACAGCTGCATAAAGGAAAAGAACTGATTCCATCACATATATATATATATATATATATATATATATATATATATATATATATATATATATATATATATATATATATATATATATATATATATATATATGTTTTTGTTGTTGTTGAGCAACACTTTGGGGCAATCACTGAAATCAGGTTTCAGACCTCTTCAGCGATGTTGGTTCCCTGTTTATAAGTAAGGTACTTTAATTTAGTTTATTGTTTAGAATTATTATTTTTTTTTAATAAAACCTCAAAATCAATATTTTGTTTTACTGAATAATAATTTAGTACGTTTTTATTTATCATTTTTTTCATTTTTTTGTTATTTGAATAAGTAGTGTGAATTTATAATTTTCTTTAATCGGCTTATTTGTAAACTGTCAAGCACAACAATACATTACATACATAGGCAGAGCTTATGTCTGAACGTCCGCCCTGACCCTGACACCATTTTATATGAGTGTTTGAATGTTTGGTGGATGTAAAAGTAGTGGACTCAAAATTTCCCACAATGCACCTTAGTGTGCATCCAGTAGTGTGCATCTGTCACTACTTGATCCATACCGGTAGAAGTTCCGTAACATCTGCTTATTTTTCGCATGCGCAGTCAGAAATACATCTGGCTCACCCTTAATTGTACTCTATGGATGGAAATAAATGTTTCCTCTGTTTAAAAGGTTAATAATTTATTTTCTGAGAAAACAAATTAATTTAAATCTTTTTCTTATTACCCGTCTGTGCCTGATATCTCCTGGAAATGGGATCCAACGCTACTTCAGCTTTGGTTTTATACATAAGTCTTGTCTTTTTGAGTTGTATGTTTGCGTTATGTTGTACCTTTATGTTATATAGTGCATAATCTAATGAAAGACACAAATAAAATGCGAGAAAACACGAGGTAATCATACTTTGCTGGACTGCTCTGAGCATTTCTAAAGATGAAATTCTCTCAAAAATGTCAAAATATCTTAAATAAATATCTTTATTTAAAGATATTTAAATAAATAAATATATTTAAATACATTTTAAATATCTTTTATAAGATGTAGTTTAGCATTCTTAGGTGATTTAAGGATAGAAATTAATACTTTCAGTCACTTTATTTAAAGCATGTAGTTTTTAACAAGTCAATATTCCCCAACACATCAAAATGGGAAGAATAAGACTTGTTGGCATTAAGCCTTGATTTTAACTCCCCTCAAAAGCTTCTGGAGTATCTGCCCGGCCATTTGTTTCAGGAAACAAAAGCATCTACTTATTCTGCCATTAAAATTCATCAAAATAAGGTTAATTTAAAAGGACAATGAGAATGTCAATTCCAAATATTAGTGGGGAAGGATGTATACATTTAAGCCTGTTGGTATAATTCAGACTAGCTTGTTAACCTAAATCTTTTTTTAAACAGATTGAATTATATTTTTTATGAACTTTCCTGCCTAGTTGAAATAGAAAATAACAAACCTCTGATTGTTTGTCAGACTTAATGAGTGTATGTAAACATCTGACCCCGACCAAGTGTTTGAATGTTGGAGGGTTTATCTGTATCTGTTCTGTTTTCTTTTTTTCCTGCAGTGGAATTCCAGGGAAGAAATGTGGAAGCATCATAATTAGATCGGAGGAGCTCAGCAACTGCAGGGTAAGAATACAACTTTACAGTCTTTAAGATACTTTTATCTCACTTCACTGGACCAGTGAAAACCTGGGGGTTCCCAAATAATTCAGCCTCTGATCCCAAAAATAACTGAAAATAATATTTAATCATTTAATCTATTAACCTAAATGTAATTGTAGTTATTCAATGGATCACTAATTTACCTTAATGAGGATTCAATTATGTATTTTATATCAGAATAATATATTAAATACACACAAAAGAAATGTTGCATTTACTTCTGGTATATTTATTTAATGGGACATATATATGTATGTATTTTGTAATAATTTTTTACATATTGGCCCTCTGTATACCTCTGGAATCACATCACAATGATTGTAAAACAACATCTCATAACCCTACACTTGTCTTAATTGATTTTTTTGATCTCACAGTGGAGAATTTTACTTGTTACATCAGCTCAATAGTCAAGGTGCATGAGGTATATATATATATACCTATAGGTATATATATGATATAAACACCGCTGAAGTCCCTTTTTTAACAGGATTATTATACAGGGTTATTGCACAGGGTATATATATATATATATATATATGTATATATATAGAGTTATTGCTCTGGGTATTAAATATAAAATAGTTTATTGCACAGAGTATTAAATAGTGATTGCAGGTTATATATTGAACAAGTTACTGCAGTTATGGTGCCAAATTGCAAAGCCTGATGGCAGCAGGGATGAATGAATCCAAACAGGGGGTATAAATCTTTCACTAAAGGAGCTGCTCCCGATCCTCCACAGTCTGGTGCAGGGGGTAAGAGGTGTTGTCCATGATGAAGGTAAGTTTGGGCAACACCTTGGGATCCAGTAACTTGGGTATTGCGACCCCCTCTTGGGATCTGGACCCCTAATTTGGGAACTCTTGCTCTATTGAAAAAAAACATTAAAATAGGATTGGATAATGTAACCATTTTCTTTGTGTGTTTTTAAACATCATTAATCACAATTTATTTTTAGACAATGAATGAAAATTGTAATCGTGGCAAGAAATGTATCCCAATTACAACAAACAATATATTGAAAAAAATCCTGAACACTGTACTGTTGCACTGTATAGGACCTGATTGGAATGTAATGCAGTGGAATTCCTCATCTTAAACAGCTGATGGTGACTAAAAGTCTTAGTCACCACTCTAAAAGAGAGTTGGAAGCAGTGGATTGATGGATGAGCCACAGAGGAGCAAAGAGAATGTGCAAATAAAATTTAATAAATAAAAATGATGTTGCCATCACATGGTTTTCTAATATTAAAGGTGGGGTATGTGATGTTTTCTGGAGCATGTTTTTACCATACTGATTGAAAACCTCCTCACGAGCCCATTGCGCCAACTGAGATAGAATGTTTGGAAAAAAAACGAAATCTTTTAGTCCAGTGTAGAGGGCGTAGTCAGAGGAAAACGCAAACCAATAGAAGTAACTATCATCCCTACTTCTACTGGTTTCTGACACGCCCATCAACCGTCAGCTCTGAGCTCTCCCCACCCCTCCCCCCTGCGCGTTCACAGACTCGTGACACCCCCCCCCCCCCCAAAGTGCCGCTGAAGGGAGGACCTGTTCGAATTTACAGACAGAACTCTTGTGGTCTCCTTATTTTCAAGGACTTCGAAGGGTCCAGTCTAGGTAGACCGCGTCCTTGGAGGATGCAGCCCAGGTTTTTGAACAGAGCCTCTGATTAAGAACAGGGCTGCCCGCACTGACGCGGCTCAGGGATTACGTCACACGGAGCGTCGTGCGCATTGAAATCAGGACATTTCCTCACTTTCTAAAAAAAACCCGGGACGCCCGGGACAGGACGTGAAATACGGATATGTCCCGGGAAATACGGACGTTTGGTCACCCTAATCAATACTTCTTGAAATGACAACCGTGACAACTTGTTTACGACCATATTGAATTGTTCAACACTCTTACCGTACTAGGAGAAGACGACGCCATCATGGAAGTTAGCCTGTTATGTTGTGGTTAGCTAGTAATAGACATGAGCTTCTCGCCTCATCCCGAGTCACGTGCACTCGCGAGGTCTCGGCCTGTTTCTTTCTCGTTCTCGGGAACATCCGAACATTCTCGACTGACAGCAGGCGCGTTCATGTAATTTGGAGGCGTGGTTTCGTGGGGTGGGCTGAAGGTGTGTATTTTCAAAAATTTAGCTGGCAGGAACCGTTTATCCAGGATCATATACCCCACCTTTAAACAGCCTTTCCCTGCAGACAAATCCCAATCACTCCGCTTTGGCAGATTGTCAACACATTCCAGTGATCTAATATCTTAATATCCCCCAATCCTGGTTCATACTGTAAGTCCATAATTTCCTCATGAAAACATTCTTATTTTTTACTGGCCTTCTTTCTTATCATTTAAATGAAGAATTTCTGCATTAATGCTTTTTTTTCTGCTCTCTAACATTTATTTGTTTTATTTCTCCCATTCAAGGAGTTAGTGATGCTCCAGTTTTGCGGCAACAAGTTGGATAAGAAGGACTTCTTTGGAAAATCTGATCCATTTCTAGTGTTCTACCGCAGCAATGAAGACGGATCGTAAGTTCAATAAGCGTTGTTCCTCCTCTTGAAATGAGAAAATGTCGCTATGACAATTTGAAGCATTTGAGCAAACAGCAGCACAACGTACAGAGAGCCTGAGCACGGCTGCTCATGCTCCAGAAGCTCCTATGCAGAGCCACTTGTCTATGTGATGTCACATAATGCTTGATGATGTATACGGGACATGCCCTCCGTCCAGCATCATGAGGAAGCAGCAGATGAGTGGATAAAATGGGACAGAGTTGACAAGAGGAAAACAAAGCGGGGAGTGATAGATAAGATGGAATTAAGTGAAAACTTTGTGTGGAGGTCACTGTTTTTTTGCCCTACAGTTGCTTGTTATCACAGTCGACTTGAGCATCTCACACTTAACACATTCTCTGTAGAGCAGCTGGGTTTCTACTGATGCAGCTTAAATGCTGCGCTGCAGGGTATAACAGCAGCACAGCGTTGTAACAAAGAGCCAGTTTAGATAGACGCAAAAAAAAAGGCAAAAAAAAGTGAAAATGAAACAGAAAGCAATGATTTGGGGGTTATAAATTCCTCTTTATTTCCGCCTCTATTAACACTCCTGTACTTTTCACAGCTACACCATCTGTCACAAAACAGAAGTGGTGAAGAACACCCTGGACCCGGTGTGGCAGGCTTTTAAAATTCCTGTCAGGGCGCTGTGTAACGGAGACTACGACAGGTACAACACACCGCCCACAGCAGGGATCCTTGAAACCCACAAGAATTGTTTACAGATAATTGGGTGGAATCCTAATGTAATCAGATCCAAAGCAGACTCTTTTAGCATTTAGAATACTAACTAAAGCAAATATCCAGACATGATGGTGATGGGGCCTGACACATAAAATTAATGAGCTTATGAAATCCCCAGAAACTTGCAAGAAAAGTCAAAAACACAATGAAGTGTTTCCTCATGTATAGATGATGGGGGGAAAAAAGCTAATCTGTGGAAATAAAGGAAGCTTGAGGTTTTTTTCATAAGAAATGCCAGGGCAAGTTTCCAATAAAGTCTTTAGTGACCATTTTATTTTAAATCAGTTTCCAGAAATAAAGTTATAAAAGTTCCAGTAAATCAAGACAGATGTTTATGGAGTGGGTTTGTTCCACTATTGTTGCAGCAAAGAACTTTTGTTTTGTTTTTAATGGAAATTAAAAAAATACAGTAATGGAAAAAAAGTTTTAATGAAAAAGGCTTATTAGAATAACATTGCTCTTTTCTCATTGTTTATTTGTTAAAAACATTGTCTTTTTTAAATTACATTTTTCAATTATTTTCTATGTTTACAGGATTTATATTTTCAAAAATTGTTTTCAGACCATTTTCTAAATTGAATGTTACACATCACATTCTTTGACTTTAACAGATTACAAACATTTACTCTTGACTTTTACTTTGACCAATAAAATGTTGTTGCTACGTCCATATAGACCAATAGAAAACCATTTTAGCTTTGCACCGAATCGAGAAGGACGACCACACAGACAACCGGGAAGGCATACCAAGGACCAATCACAGCTGCTTTTGGTCTCCAAATTTCCGCTTGAGGTCTGCGTGGGTTTGCGACTGTCCCACAGGTAGTCAGGATTTTTTTGAGGTGCGCGAGGACATTTGCAGAGCCTCTGTGCGGGGGGCGTGGTTGCAAACAGAGATAGATTTGACATTTGCAGAGGCTATGCGTCAGAAGCATAAATTTGGCTTTACACTCTACCGTTATAACAGTCTACAAACAACATTTTCCCCCTCATTCATGAAAGTGTAAAGTACGAAAACGATCATACGAAATACTATTAAAAACGGTCAGGGTGAAGAGTAAGAGTAACTCAGCAAGCAGCTGATCGTCAGCGGGGCGAATAACTGGAATCACTGCAGAGGTAGAAAACACAGGTCAGTGGCTGGAATGTTGGGCTACTTATGACTATGAGCAAAAAGTCACTGACCTGGGTCAAAGTCCAGTCCGATCCCAGATGAGAGACAGATTATCCTCCGTTTGCAGCTGAAGCTGCTTCCAGCACCCTGAGTAAGGATGAGCTGACGACAGCTGACGCCGAGGGAGCAACAGAGTCCTTAAAGAGAATCCAAGCCGAGGTCAGAGAAAGGCTACGTTCACTCTGCAGCCTGAAGTGACCCAAATCTGATTTTTTGGCCCATATGCGACCTGGATCTGATCTTCTCATTACAGTTTAAGCAACACAGATCCCATTTTTTCCAATGCGACCCAGGCCGCTCGGCTATGTGGTCCTGAATCCGATACGAATCTGATCTTTTCAAATGTGACCTGTGTCTGAACGGCCAGGTCGCATTCATCCGACCTGAACGTCATTAGTAACCAAAGGTCACTATTCTGGGTCTTGCTATGAAGAAGCGGCAAGAAAAACAACAATCATGACAGACGATGATGCTGAGAGCAGTATTTATGTTTAACCATCTTGAAAAGATTGTGTTTTTTATGGTTGGAAAAGACCGCTAGATGCACACCGGCACTACCATTCATGTTTACTTCCGTAAGCACAGAGCACACTGGCCTGTAACGTCATTGTGTCCTCTACTGCGCATGCGGGACATTTTCCTTGAATGACTGCAGTTCACTCAGGAGATCACATACAAGTCGCATATATTTGAAAATATGAACGTCAACGAAAAAAAATCGGATTTCACAAAAAAATCGGAATTGCAGCAGACAGGGGCAAGGCAAAAAAACTCCAATATCCCCCGAAAAAAAGCAGGTCAGATACAGGATATCAGACACACTTACTTGATGGGTAGAGTTACTCTTGAATAGCTTGAATAATCTGGCACTGGAGGCTGAAAACAAGCAGCATATATAGGAGCTGGAAACAGGTGGATAAGATAAGTGGTAACGAGAAACTGGGCAGAGTTAAACAGGTGAATGGAATGAGCTATCAAGACATGACACATTCCTAAAAAGTGACCAATCACAGGCAGTTTCCCGCAGAGAAGCAGCATGGACTGATGCTTGTGATATATTGGGCAACCTTATGGAAGTCAATCTACATACATAAAACATTAAAATGTGCATGTAGAGTAGATTATATCAATGTTTTTTTTTTTTTTTTTTTTTTTATAAAACTGCTCTTACTGTATGAGTATTTATTCTTTTGGCAGAATACTGACTTTATCCATTCTAAGCTTTCCTCTCCAGAATAATTCAGATTAAAAATATGAATTAGGTTTAATGAGGAAAGCCAGAAGATTACTTCTACAGTAATACATCAATAATTTAATTCATGAAAGCTAAAATTCTTTTTTTTTTTTTTTTTTTTTAGCTGGTGCTGCTAATATCTTTCACTATTTTACGACTGTCCACTGCTTGACTGATTACAGCAGTTATGCTCTAAAGCAATAATATGAGTCATAGTTTGCCTTAATGGATCTATTTGGAAATAAGCTGTGATTTATAGCTCTACTTCTGCGTAATCATTATTAAAGAGTCTCTCCAGTCAACAACGTGGTGAGATTCCTGTTAACAGTCTGTTTTGGTAAGTAGGCCATGACAAATGAAAAGAAATCATGTGTAACATAATGATGATTATTATTTACTGTCATTGCTGTAGATAGACTTTTGAATCCTCCCCAGTCGATTAGAATACCTTTAAAGCAAATGATTAGTTACTATTATGAGTTAATCTCTTATAATTATAATCTAATAATTATGCCACCATTCAGCCACTCCTTTATTGGAACGCATTCACATAACAAACCCTTCAACAGAGCAGCTGTTTGCTCTTTAAACTGATGATAAATCTTAAGTGATGAGCTTGTTTTATGCTCCTTTTCTTTTCTCTACAGGAGCATAAAGGTGGAAGTCTATGACTGGGACAGAGATGGAGGGTGAGGATTTACTTTATTATTTTTGTTACGTTTGTACAGACCTGGTTGTGATTATATCCTCTGTGTCTTTGGGTTGCAAACATTCAATCCATGTCATATTATTGTCTCTTCTGAGTTTAACAGTTTACACATTCAGAATGAAGAAGAGCTGTATCATCACATTGCTTCTTGCTATAAAAAAGAACTACATGTACTTAGTTTATTGTCTATTTATCTTTTTTTATTTTTGCATATAAATCATAAGAGAAATTAGGTGCTTGATAATTTCTTGGAATCTGAAATCCCAACACATTGAAAAAGACCAAATTTAGTGGTTTGGGAAGAATGGTAACAACAACAACACTGTAGCAGCTAGAGAAATTTCCTAAAGAGCTGGTTATGGTTGGTTAAAAGGTGTTGGATTGTGAAATGGGAATGGAAATTGCATCTCAAAGATGGGAATCGCATGTGAAAGTCATGGTATTATGATGTAAAGGATGAGACTCAGATGTGTGTGAAATTCTCACGATTTTTATGTGGAAAACTGAAATCAAGTGTGAAGGATGGGAATCCCATGGGAAATTCATTGGGTTTTTCATCTTGAAGACAGGAACCACATGTGAAAAATGGGAATCACATGTGAAATTTAATGGATTTGTTTTAAGTAGAATATGGGGGAAAAAACGGGCTATCTGGTGGCGCAATGGGTAGCACTGCTGCCTTGCAGCAAGAATATGATTCCCATTCATATGGAAATCATGGGATTTTTTGTAAGGGACCAGAATAAGTAGAATGTGCCTTGCTTGCTTGGTAAAATATTATTCTTCCACAACATGAGAAGAACAAAGCTGAAGAACAAAACAACATGAGAAAAGGATTCTAAAAGTTTTTCACGGACACAAGCCTCAAAATGTCCTCTGACATTTAACCAGCAACTACGTTTTCCGCACGGTTTAAATTGGAAAAATTATTTTCCAACACTTTAGGATTCAAGATTGGGAAGCCTTAAAACGGTAAAGAAAAAAGTTGAACAAGCACAACCTTTTCTGTGTTTTTACATGAATAAGTCATTCACAACTTGTGTTTTTAAGTGAGACCTGACAGAGGCCTGTTCCTCCTTGCATGTTAAAGACAAGCGAAATACTTAATGTCAAAGACAAATGTAGGTCTTCAGCAGAGAAGAAATGGCTACAAGAATAGAGCTACCTCCTGAATTGCTTTCATAACAGTTCTAATTTCAGAGTATAAAATAACTTGTGCTAAAACAAAGGTAGCATATGAACTAAAGTTAATCTTCCAATCACACTGTAAACAAGACTAAAAGAAAAAAAATTCCCATCCTTAGAGAACTTAAACAAAACGTGGTATGTGAACATGTCTCCATAACAACCGTTTATTTTAAGACTTCTGTATAAATCTTCATCAGAGGTGCAAATAACTGCACATGTTGGATAGGGACAACGTATTCATGTGAAGCAGAGTCAGAAATGACCAGTTATTCCGACATAGGGAAATCTTTTGGGTTTTTGATGTTAACTGCAAACAGTATCTGATATTAGTTTGGGCCTGTTTAACTGAGCTGCGGCAATCCTCATTTAAACAGCCTTTATTACATCCATGGAATTAGGAAACTAATCTTTCTGGGATCCTGCATCTTCTATAATTTATCCTCTTAAAACACTTTGCAATGTAAACATATTTCTTTTTTTTTCTTCTTTTTTACAGCCACGACTTCATTGGCGAGTTCAGCACCAGCTACAGAGAAATGTGCAGAAGCCAGTCGCAGTTCCACGTCTATGAGGTGCAATACTACACACACGGACTTTAACTGTCATATATGTCTGAATTCATTACCCTAGTCCCATGGTGCTGTATGACCCCAAACTCCAAATTTTAATTAGACACAACAAAAGGCTGGGAAGCACTTATTTAACACTTTATTACAATAAAAATACACAATTCATCAGCTCCACACACCAATAAACTCTCTACATGTACTGTTAGGAAAGCTCGACACTCACCAAAGTGTTCGGCTGATCCGTACTCACAGATGTGTGGCGTTTTTTCAGTTAATCTGAGACCTCTTTGTGTGAAATGTTATATTAATACAAGCAGACAATACCACAGCAGCATTCAGCAGATATCTAGTTACATTTTCTTAACTAAATGTCTTTACAGGAGTACTTTTACTGCACTGTGCAGATAGTTGCAGAATTGGGACATTTTAACAGTTTATTCTAACTGGAGACAGCATTCGTTCTGTAGTTGGCCTTTGATGTGCAGACTGCTTTTCTAATACCTCTTTGCAAAGAAATTGCATGGCTTTTTAGTGTGGAGTTCATCTGCCACAGATGTATGAGGGCTTGTTAACTGTTGACTGTAGCAAATAAGGAGCAAACATTGTCGATGTTTTAGTTGATAATCTCAGTGAAGAAAGATTCTCTTGCATCTTTTAGTTGTAAATGACATCAGTGAAGCTTCTCTTTATAGATTTCATAGTGGACTTGGACTCACCTCCTTGATTCTGCTTTTCGGCGTTCCATCTTTTCTTTTCTCACTGAGTGTTTCTCCATGGGGATTTAACCTTCACTTTATCTGGAGCAATGGAATCAAGTATTCTTTAGAATGTAAACCTTCAACCACCTCACCAACTGAGAATCAGGGTAAAGTGAAAGCAGGAGGGTAAAGTTATTAATTGTCCTGTCTTATAAAATTTTTGCTAATTAGATCAGTTAGGAAAATGGTTTCAAAGTAAACAAATAAATAATATGATGAGGCAACATCAGTTACAGAAGCATTCAAAATATTTAGACCTTTGCTGATGACCAGTTCGAAAATATGTCCTTGATTGTGTGTTGGCTATTTAACATGTTAGAACCCAAACTTTCATGTGTCACATAGTTCTTTTGCACCTTTGTCTTCAGGGTTGTCAACATATACATTAAAGTCTCCCACAATAATTAAGTAGTCGTGTTCAATATCTGTCATTGAAATCAATAAAAAACATTTGTTTTGGACTTTGGAAGCCTGTAAACATTCACAAACAGAGGGCCCTGTACTTGGATAGCCAGATACTCAAAAGATTCACCTCAGTGAATCATTAAACAGAGTAATGAGCCCTCCCCTTTTAAAAAAAAGCCCGTTCTGATGGAGAAAATTGTAATTGAGAGGTGCGGCCTCCAATAAAATCGGCATCTCCTTATTTTCACCTGGCCATGTCTCTTTTAGATATTGTAACAGAGTTTGCTACTAACCCTACTGTTTAATCCATCTTTTGTAAAAGCTATGGTCATCTATTTTATAAGTGTGTCCAGGGATACGCTCTATCTGAGTCACATTTTGTTCATGGTTTGCAAAAAATATTTATAGTCTTCCTCATGGCGAGCAGGTGGAATCTATTACCTTTCCAGACTTATTCTGCACTTTTTGTCAGATTGAAAGTGTTTAATTAGGGAAAGTTTAAAGATAAAACTCTCTTTAAAGTTTGGCTTTGCTTGTGCTGACAAGAAAAAATATACCAGCCATTATTTAACTAATTAGCAGCAGAAAAACTGGAGAAGCCCAACTGACTTTGCTTTTATCGTCCTCCTTTTCCCCTCTGAAAATTCACTATATTACAGCCATTATGTGTAGCAGAATAGTTAAGAAAAAAGAAAAAATTGCAAATACTATAAAGAAGAAAATCCAAAGGAGACAGTAATCTGATTCATGATTATTCAAATGCTGTGTTTATTCCATATTTGGGAATGCTTTGTTTTCACTGAGTTAGGGTTGTGGTCCGACTTTTGTGGCTTTGAGTTTATTTTAGGTATTCTTTTGGTTTCTGTTTAGTTTATTGGTCTCCAAGGGGGTGTACCAGTTATTATTCACTGAAGGAACTGCCACACATCATTTTTAGCAGTACATCACCCTTTGCAAACCTTGTAAATGCCTCTAGCTCAATGCAAACATTGTTTTGAATAGTGAAAAATAGGCATTCAATTACATTACTAACTGCTATCATTGTTTTGTTTCTTTCTTTGATGAGTCCTGCTGAGGCATTTCAGGAATAGACAGACTATATTTATTCATAAAGGAAAATTTAAGATGTAATCCTAATTTTTTGATTGACTTTATTAGAGCCACACTGCATTGAATTGGTAGGCCACAGTGAAGTTAACCTAACCTGTCTGTATACAGTAGATGTATCTGTCATCTTTGGTTCATGACGACATTCATGGCATTCACACCAAAGAGTTACATTTTTGTCTCATCATACCAGGGAATAATGTCTTTCATGGTTTGCGAGTCCTTTAGGCGCCTTTTGGAAAACTGGCTTTTATTTGCAGCATACAGGTCTTGGTGCTTCTATACTTCTTCCATTTACTAAAGATTCATAGTGCAATACCATACCACACCAACTTAATTTATGAAGCACTTTATATACCGCTGCCTACCTTTGTGAAGCAGAAAAAAGACTAATACAAAGTGAATCCAGTAGAACTTTTTATTGCCTACCTGGAATGGGTGACAATAGTTGAATAAACTTTTGTCTCTCAAAATGGTATCGGTGCCTTTTTGTTGGTACTCACCGATACCAACAGTGTTGTGCCTGAACGCGTTCATTGAATGAAAGTTCATGAACTCGTTCATATTTTGGGCGAACGTGAATTGAACGTACTGCATTACTGCCTGATGAACGTTATTGTGAACTCGTTCATTCTGGTGTCTGTGAACGGCACGCTCTCTCAGTTCAGCTCCGTTCAATAGGTTGCCAGATTTCTATAGAGCCCTCCAGGGGAAACCCCGGCTAAATCAAACCGTAAACAGGCCTTAATATGTAGCGGGAAAAACACCCAATCTGGCAACACCAGCTACCAGCGTCGTAGCCTACAGCCGCGTGCGTCATCAAAACAAAATGCAGCGTGAAGCCACAGCAGCATGGAGGCGACAAAGCAGCAGTATGATCACTTAAAACAGTTTTATGACCAGGTGGTCGGTGAGGATGATGGCAACAAGTTTGCCCGCCGGCTTTCAGTAAAAAAATCCGCACTTCAGTAACCTTAAATTCCTACCTCAGCCTGGTCCCTCAGTTTGTGTTAGTAAAATCTTCTTGAGCGGAGGTCTTCAACGGGGGATCCGCGACCCCTAGGGGGTCTACGGTGGTACTGCATGAGGGTCTGCATGGTTAGTTGATATTTTTATATTCCCCCCCCTGCAATTTTTTTCCCCACTAATTGAAATGTCTTTAAATACTCATTAACATGAAATCAACACACTGTAGTAAACAGATAAATGGAGACAAAAGATGTCTTTCAGTCATCAATGCACACATTCAGCGACACACAGGAGCTCTTTCAAGCTGGGCACCGTTTCCTTCACAACAACCAGGAATCAGAATCAGAAAAACTTTAATAATCCCAGGGAGAAATTAATTTCTTTACATTACTCTATCTGTAATAGAGTGACTATAGGACACAATTTCATACAATATATATAGTTAGGGGGTCCCCGCTCCATCTCGCCATCAGTTTGGGGGTCCTTGGTCTGAAAAACATAGAAGACCCCTGTTCTTGAGGGTTTTACTATCCATGTAACTTGTTTGTTAAACCTGCCTGGTATAATTTTCCAGGATTCCAGTATTCCTTTTTAGTATGTATTGAAATGGAATTTCAAATGGAAAAAATTATTAAAATAAAAAAAAACATTTGCACCTTAAAGACTATTTTCCTATTTTTCTTTTAATAATTACTCATAAAAAAGACAATTCAAGCAGCACATTTTTCCTGATGTTTTTGAGAATATACTGTAGGGGTGAAAGCTGCAGCTGCTACTAGTGTGAAGTGAATGGACAGCAACAAAGCGTTAAAGCAACAATGGGGAAATCTGTCCCCTCAATGCTAATGTAAACCCTGGTTGGATAAGGATTCAAAACTGGATATGAAGATGAAATCTGACGCACAGTTTCAGTGTTACAACTGATAAAATAATTGCTGTCTGTGGTTCTACAGTAGGCTATGGTGTAATTGAGCAATATATGAAAAAAAAAAGAACTATGAACTAGTTCATTTTTTGGTTTTGAATTATGAACTATGAACTGAACTAGTTCATTTTAAAATGTGTGAACTGAACTTTGAACTAGTTCACGTAGAAAGAGAACTTTCCCAACACTGGATACCAATACCACCATTTTAGAGCTGGATGGGGGCATTTCCCTATACTGGTATCGGTGCAACACTAACTCATATACAAACACACTAAAACAGAGTGAAACATCTGAGATTATGCTAAAAGCCAAAAAGAAAATATGGGTCTTAAGAAGAGACTTAAAAACAGCGAGTGAAGAGGCCTGTCTTATGGCTAAAGGAAGATCATTCCATAGCTTGGGAACTGCCACAGAATAAACCATGGTCCCTTCTGAGCTTGCACTTCATCCTTGAACGGTGGGGTAATGGCAGTTTGAGGCAAGGAGGGAGTCTCAGCTCTGTCAGACAGAGAGGAGCAGAAGTAAATGCTGTCAGGCAGCACAAGGCTGGCTCTACATAGGACCTGGAGGTAGCGAACTGCAAGTTTTTCACCTGGAATAGAAACTCAGATTCAGTTACTGAATCGGCTAAATGGACTGGATCAATTATTGAAGAAGGGAAATAAACTGAGCATCATATTATTTTGAAATGCTTCTCGGAAACCATGTCCATTACAGCATGAAGTGATTTTTGTCATATTTGCCTACTCGTGGTCTATTTCTGTAACCTGACAACAGCCAGATGCATGTCTCGCTCCGCCTAGCTCCACTCACATACATCTGGGAAACCACTCATTGAAAGTGATTTCCCCAACCGAATTTATGGTCTGGCCAATCAGGACGCAGGGCGGGTGTGTCCTGCATGTGACGTAGTGGAGAAGCGAGTTCTGTAAGTCGTTCGTCTATACTTCTTTGGTTGGCTTCTTTTTTTAAAATAAGTCTGCTGTGCACAATGTTGCCTTTTATCCGCACATTTTCATGGCACAAACGACATTGATCATTTACCGACATTGCGCTGATTCGACTGTTGCTCTCACAGCGTCACGGGTTAGCTTCGGTGTGAGTGGTTGAAATAGCCCGTTGATAAAGATGACAGACAAGTGGCTTATCCAATCATATGCAAGGAGTTTTGATAAGGCCCAGCCTTCAGTAAAGGCAATTCCTATGGCGGTTTCCCAGATGCATGTGAGTGGAGCTAGGCGGAGCGAGACATGCATCTGGCTGTTGTCAGGTTACTATTTCTGTAGAATAGACACAAAACGTTGTATTTAATTTTATAATCAGGTATCAATAAAATTTCTAAAAATAGATGGATAACCATAACAAATCTGTTGGTTTGCTAAAATTGTGAGAAAACCAGCCTTGAATATTTTGTATTTATATAGAAAAGATGCATTCTTTGTCCTCTAATAGTATCAGTTTAAAGAGTGGGTCTCGGCAATAGAAAGGCAATTTCTTTATTCCCTTGTAATGATCTGCTGAATCACCATAGTCGGTTTCCTGATATTTCCTCTTCCCTCACTTTTCTATCAGCTCTGCTAACGCATAAATCTCTGGAGACTAAAACTCAGTAAAGCTGCTTAGGTAAAAAAACAACCTCAATCATTTTAGTATAGAGACAGAAGAATGGGGCTTCTTTTATCCATGTTGGATATTATATGTTATCATAAACGTCTTTTTTTCACCATGACCAACCCTGTTTTTATTTTTATCTCTGTGAAAATACAGATGCTGTTAAATATGTTTACTTTAATCATTTCTTTTAGCCGCCTTCATATTATTATTATCTGTGTTCTTTTTGGAGCAGCATTCTGAAGCCTGTGGAAAAAAAGTTTTTGTATAGAAAAAAGAAAATGACCAAAATAATTACACTAATTACTCAGGCTTTAATGTGTCTATTAAAATACTTATTAAAAAGGTTTATTTCAGGCTTGCTGCATAGTCTGGGTTAATTAAAACTAGAAAGGCCAGGAGTCACTCCAACTTTGACTGCAACAAAATCATTTGAGGCTCAACTATTCAACATGTTTTTAGGCTTTTAAAACAAGCTTATATCTCCACAGGTGCTTAATCCAAAAAAGAAAGGGAAGAAGAAAAAGAAGTACCTAAACTCAGGAACGGTGAGTAGAAACTTTTCTATTACATACAACTACTAAAAATACACTTGAATGATGTACTGTTTACAGAAAATTTGTAAATTTGGTGCCTATAAATCACAAGTGTCTATAGTCACATTACATATGCCTCTACCAAAAATACCATTATCCAGTTGATACTATAAGACTCCATGTGTCCATCCTTGTAGTGTTTTAATCATCCTTTTTAAGCCTAAATGGAATCTCAGCACCAGGTGCAATGAGCTGATGTAAACGGACTTGGCCATCTACTGGCAGTACTGCTGAGCTACCAGGAAGCTGCAAATGGAGGCCAATAATGCTACTTAATAGAACTATCTTTAGAGTCTTTCCCACTGAAATTGGCGGGTTAACCTGGGTTTTAATTCAATTCAATTTCAATTCAGTTTATTTATATAGTGCCAATTCACAACACATGCCATCTCAAGGCACTTTACAGTTCAACCAGATCATACAGTCAAATTGATTCAGAGTTTTCTATCTAAGGAAAACCAGTTGATTGCATCGACTCATTGACTCGAAGGCAATTCCTCACACTAAGCATGCTTGTAGCGACAGCGGAGAGGAAAAACTCCCTTTTAACAGGAAGAAACCTCCAGCAGAACCAGGCTCAGTGTGAGCGGTCATCTGCCGAGGCCGTCTGGGGTTTAAGGAAGCAGAAACAGAGATACAAAAAGCAACTATAAAAGGCGGCCCCATCCAGGAAAGACACAGCCAGGCAGACAAGCTCCGAGCCAGCTTCCATGTCCGAGGATGAAGAGAGCACATCCTGGCAGTCACAGTCAAAGAAACAGGACTACACTGGAAAACAGGCCGATCTCCAACATCTATAAACAAGGGTGTTGATGGCAGCAGCACAGCTGATATTTCTCTCCAGGATGGTGTCACATCCAGCCAGAAACAGCCGAGGCAAAGTTACTATGAGAGAAAGCACAGAGCATAACGTTAGAGATTGAACTAACAGATTCTGCAGAGTGGGAGAATAGAGACAGAATAAAGCAGAATGATGAAATGGAAGTTCCTATGTCCTCCAGAAATCTAACCCTATAGCAGCATAACTACCCATAGAAACATGGGTCGAACTGCTAACCCCTCGCTGGCAAGCTGCGGGCCTTTGACCCACCACGACTGCGTGTCTGGTCACACTATAACGCTGGGTATGCATTGATTGTGTCACCAGTGTGATAGAAATCAAGAAAGTAAACAATGGAAAGCAACATTTAAGAAAGTCAGGGCATAATAACTGTGCTTTATTGTTTTGCACTATTTTCCCTCTGAGTCCCTACCACCAGTGCTGCTCAATATTCATCGAATGTAAACAGAGTTGTTTCAGTTTGTTAAATCAGATCGACTGGTGCGGTGTGTTGACGTCCGTACATGCTGTCTGCTCAGCCTGTTTTTGTTATATAAAGACTACATTTCCGAGTGTCCAACCAGATTCTCTGCTCTCAGGAGTTAGCAATCATTCAATTCCCATCACCAGCAGTGTTTTATTGCATTAATAAGTTTTAACATTTTGATCATGATTTGAGTATTATGGATCAGAAAATATTAGCTACTGACAGTGATGGGACTAACGGCGTTGAAAGTAACGGCGTTACTAACGGCGTTACCTTGTTTTAGTAACGAGGTAATCTAACTAATTACTTTGACTGTAACTATAACGCAGTTACCATTGCAGACACCCCGTTACTGCACGCTACTCAGATTGCACAATGAACCTTTTTTTCATGCTAGGACTCGTGCACGCCTTGTAATGAGAGAGGGGAGGATGAGAATGGCTGATGTATAGTGAGATTCCGTCTGTCAGTTGGGTAGGTGGGTGTTCCACTGGTGGGTGTTAACGTACAGCACACACAGAGAGATGGAGAGTGAGGAGGACTCCAGCAGCAAAACAGCGTTTTCCTGATGGAAATACCAGTGTTACGTCGAGCTGCGTTTCCCCATCACATATGGTTTCCCCTGCATCTCCGCACAGCGCAAGCAGCACGATTCACAGCGCAAGCGACAAGAAATGCGCATGCTCGCTAAAGGCGTGCAACAGTCGCCCTGTGGTCCACCACAGGAGAACTATGGAGAGCGTGAACGATCAAATGATAGCCTATATAGAGAAAGGGAGAAATCTGGATGGATGGATGGATGGATGGATGGATGGATGGATGGAACGATGGATGGATACTCTGCCTTTTCAAACTACTGTATTTTTTATTTTAAAAATTATTTGATGGCCTTTGTGTCAGGGATGGAGATCCATATTTTATGTCACACACATAGTATACATCTACATAGATAGATGGATAGATAGATGTTGCGGTATCTATAACAACCCAAACACACAGGATTTCAGAATTAGACATCCCCAGTTATTAATTTCAAATACTCACCAGATCTGAATGCCCTGTTAAAAAACTTCACATCGCGTTCCCCCCTGATGTCATTTACGTTGAGTTGCAATAAATGCAAAACTCTCTGCAGGTTCTTGTCTTTGTCGTCCGCTCTATTCAGCTGGCTTTTGAAACACACGGCGAGAAGGTGGGGGCTGGGTGGTGAGGGTTACGGAGGCGAGAAACGCAAAAGTAAACCAATAGTTACTTTTACTAGTAACTAGTTACTTTTATTGTGGAGTAACTCAGTTAGTAACTCAGTTACTTTTTGGGAGAAATAACTAGTAACTATAACTAATTACTTTTTCAAAGTAACGTGCCCAACACTGGCTACTGATTATAAAGCATTAAGAAATCCACATCTGGGAATCAAATTTTACCGCACAACTTTTATGGCGGTAATTTTCTCCACGTTTAACAAGACTTAATATATGTGAGATGGACAAAAGTGAGCAAATGAAATCACTCATTATGCATACAAGTCCCCAGTGGCAATGGGTATGCAGCTAATGGCATTTGAGTTATTGATTAATATACCAATGAGCACTAATTAGTAATTAAAACACAAGTGAATTGTTTAACTACATGTCCCACGGTCATTAGGGATATACTTAATTGTGCCTTTATAAATGAGCGTCCAACGTAGAATCTAATAAAACTTGGCAGGTGTTTGATTTTACTTCTCACCGCTGTAGTCTGACAGGGAGATAGATTAAACTGGAGGCACAATGATATGTCAGTAATGTGAAAATGGATACTATCTATTAATAATAATTAAAGAAAATGTTGTTTTATTCCTCTCATGGTTGCTGTACATAAAAAAAATTGGAGAAACAATACAATTGGGATGAGAGCTGTCCAGTGAATTCTTAAAACTGAAAGGACAGTAGTGAACTATCGTGTTCAAGAAACAAAAAAAAAAAAAAAAAAAAAAAAAAAAAAGGCACAGGTCAGTTTTTTCTTGACGACTCATGCCGACTGTACAAGCATGTGAGAGTAGAGCTATTATCTGGTGTTGCTATATAAGATCAGCAGCATTTTCTACCAAAGGAATGAAACTATCTGAGTATACTGAATGACCGGGAAAGGCAAGGCTAATTTATTTGTACATGTATAACACAGGATAAAGACAATTGAATTTAGTTCAGTTTATTTCTATAGCGCCAATTAGCAACACATGTAATCTCAAGGCAATTTACCATTCAACCAGATAATACAGTCAAATTGATTCAAAGTTTTCTATCTAAGGAAAACCAGTTGATTGCATTGACTCATTGACTCAAATGCAATCCCTCACACTAAGAATGCTTATAGCAACAGTGGAGGGAACCTCAAGCAGGGAAGAAACCTCAAGCAGAACCAGGCTCAGTGTGAGCGGCCATCTGCAGAGGCCCAACTGGTGTGGAGACAAGCCGAGATACAGAGAGAAGCAGACATAGTTTAATGTTAGAGATTGAACTAACAAATTCTGCAGAGTGGGAGAGTAGAGATGGAATGAAGCGGAATTATGAAATAGGGGTCCCTATGTCCTCCAGCAGTCTAAGTCTATAGCAGCATAACTATAGAGATAGTTTAGGATAACCTCTAATTATAAGCTTTATCAAAAAGGAAAGTTTTAAGCCTATCCTTAAAAGTAGACAGGGTGTCTGCCTCACGGACTAAAACTGGTAGTTGGTTCCACAGGAGAGGAGCCTGATAACTAAAAGATCTGCTTCCCATTCTACTTTTAGAAATTCTAGGAACCACTAGTAAACCTGCAGATTGAGAGCAAAGTGCTCTGTTAGGGACATAAGGAACGTTCATATCTCTGATATAAGATTGAACATGGCCATTTAAGTCTTTATATGTGTGAATGAAGATTTTAAATTCTATTCTGGATTTAACAGGAAGCCAATAAAGAGAAGCCAGGATAGGAGAGATGTGATCATTTTTAGTTTTCATCAGAACTCTGGCGGCAGCATTTTGGATCAACTGAAGGCTTTTAACTATAGTTGGTGGACTTCCTGATAGTAAAGAATTAGAATAGTCCACCCTAGAACAAAGACAATTCAAAGTGCTTACATGAATTATACAATACAAAAGAAGGATCAAAAGGTGTGTAAGACAGATAGTAAAACAAATAAAACAGTTGGACCACAACCTTAAACAGATTAACTTCCACAGTCAAAGGCAGCTCTCAACAAATGGGTTTTTAACTTGGACTTTAAAACAACTCAGGCTTTCAAGTCTTTTGGGAGTTGTTTTCCAGATAAATGGAGAATAGGAACTAAATGCTGCTTCTCCATGTTTCGTTCTAGTTTTGAGCGGAGAGAGTAGACTTGAACTAGACGATCTGAGTGGTCCTGGAGGTTGATACCCTGGCAAAAAAATCTGTCATGCATTGAGGTGCTGATCCATTCAGTGATTTATAGAGTAACACAGATTTTTAAGTTTATTCTCTGAGCTACAGGGAACCAGTGGAAGGACTTCAGAACTGGGCTGATCTGTTCTACTTTGTTAGTTCTAGTGAGAACACGTTTTGGATCAGCTGCGGCTGTCTGATGGAATTTTTGGGCATATGAAGACACTGTTGCAGTAATAATTCTACTAAAGATAAATGAATGAGTTTTTCTAGATCCTGCTTGGATATTAGTCCTTTAATCCTGGAGATGTTCTTCAGGTGATAAAATGCTGATTTAGTAACTGCCTGTATGCGCTTCTGAAGGTTCAGGGCTGAGCCCAGGATTATCTCATTTTTGCCTTTATTTAGTTGGAGAATTGTGGTGCATCCACATATTGATCTGTTCTATAACAGTTTATTCCATCAACAGGAACTCTGAATGACTGATAAGTGGAGCACGAGGCTCCATTCTCACTCCACAGAGTCCAGACGTTAACCTCATTAGGAATCTTGATGCAAAATGTTCATCTGGAAGATAGAAATCACATGTGAAATACATTATCTATTTTATAAGGGTTCATTCATATTTAACAATCTTCTCCGGCTCTGACTTATGGCAAAATTGGAAGCAGCGTGAGAGCAGTCAGTGGATGGAGCAGCATGTCTGCATTCTGAACAAGGTGCCAGGTTCAAATCCCACAGCGGGTTGGTCTAAGTCTCTGTGTAAACTCTTTAGGCCCAGATTATGATGGGTTAAATGCAGAAGAAAATGAACAATAGATTGTACAACAAAAACTGTGAAAATAAAGTTGGTAAACAGTGTGACTTTGTGGTATTTTCACAAAATTCTCAAAAACCTTTTAAAACCTCCAGCATCTGTTTCTGGCTAACTGCCCTTACCTTACTTAAAGAGCGTTACAAAGTTCTACTTCGACTCCTAGAACGTCTGACAACACTTTCCCTTTGATGCGATGGAGTGGCAAAAAAGCAATTAACGAAGACACATGTCTACCTGGAACATCTGTTTGATCAGAGATTTCAACAGCATCTATGTTTACTGCAAGTCTGGCCTCTTCTGTCCTGACCATATGGACAAACAATTTAACAGACATGAACATATGAAACCACAGACAGTGCTTAACAGGAAGCTGTTAAGTTCTTAAAATGAAAGAGAGAAACGACTTACCTTTATTGTTTTTGGAATACCTCGTTTGTTGTAAAATGATGGTTCTTGTCTTGTTTCCGTGCCCTGCTGACTGACAGGTGACTCTCCTCTCCTGCCTGGTGGACACTGAGCTTTCCTTCCTGGACTACATCCGAGGCGGGTAAGTTCACAGTTATTGATGTTAAGTGATACAGGATCAGGCAGCAGCATTGCTCTCATTGCTGAAATCTTCTGTCACTTGCAGTTATTAATATAGCTTAGAAGATTAGCGGCTGGTGTTATCTCCCAGCTCCAATATTAAGACAGACAGCTGCCGATAACCCGCTGCTTTAATTGCTCTCCGCTGCGTGCTTTGAAACACGCTGTGGCATAATCTGACATGATTGATGGTTCAATGTTTCTCCTTATGTCATTTATTCTTTTTTTGTAGGACACAGATTAATTTTACGGTGGCAATCGATTTCACAGCTTCAAATGGTGAGTGTTTTCACTGCTTTACTGTTATAATTGCATCTCTTTGGCCTATAGAACAGATAAAATTTGGAAGATAAAAGATCAGATCTGAGTAATTTGAACTCTTCGGGCGTTTCTGGTAAGCCAGCCTGACTTATGGATTTAATTTGAATGAAAAATATTAAGATTAAGTGTGAAATTTGACTATTAGAACTTTGACTATTCAAACTTTAAGAGTTTTGTGGGAAAGTTTCCCCAGACAGTAAATCCCTGCACCCACATGTTCCAAATTGCATTTCAAGCATTAAACCAGTCCATATAAAGAACATCTAGATTAGGGCGAACAAACAAAATGAGCTGTTCTGCACATAAGAATGTGACACAGGTGATTGATCGACTCTTTCTGGCAAAACTGGATTCAGCGGTTTAATAAGGGGTTACGCAATTTTCAAAGGTTATGTAACAGGAAAAACGAATGAGTTTCTGTGTAGTAATCAAATGAGTCTCCTGCTGAGCTGTCGTTGAGGAGGCAGAGAACAAACCAAATAACGTCCACATCCGTTTTTTTTCTAATGATGTCCCAATAGATTCTTCAGTTTTTTTCTCCTTTTTTAAATCTTGTGACACGAATGTTTGTAACCTGATTTATAAAATAGCAAAGCTTGTGTACGTTTTGCTCCCGTATCCAAGTGTTTTCCTACTCAGTTAGGTAGTTGTTGTTTTAAACACTAAGATAAAGATATTCTTTCCAGATTAAAACAAAAACATTTAAATGTCGTGAACACTGACGAATTTTCCTGTTTTTTTTTTTTTTAACGTAACTTATTTCAGAGGTGGGTAATTCTGGTTCAGAAATTAAAAGACCTACAGAGATTAACTTTGCATTTTCCGTTCCAAAGCGGAGGAGATCGATTTGAATATCTGAAATCGGAAAAGACCCCCCCCCCCCCCCCCCCGTCCCTCAGTGAGGTCTAGAAGCACAAGATCTATATCCAGTCATTTAGTAAGGATACTGCTACATGGCTGTACATCTTATTTTGGCATTTGACCAGTTAGATGAGCCCTTCATGTATTACCTACTGTAAATTCAGTTGAAAGTAAATTTAAAAAGTGAAGAAAAAAAGCTAATTGAAAAGTTAAAAATGTAAGTTAAAGTAGCCTAGTTAACAAAGGTTTATAAACTATAAAATGTAAGGGTCAGTATCAGTAATAATGCCTCCAAGGTTACATTGGACCAAAAAAAATGTTTCTTTCACTGTGTTTTTCATGAATTTCTTAGCACTTTTGTTTTTCTTTTTAAATATATATATAAATATATATATTAGGGCTGCAACAACGAATCGATAAAATCGATAAAAATCGACTTTTAAAAGCGTTGGCAACGAATTTCATCATCGATTAGTTGTGTCGCGCGATTATTGCGTCATCCGCCGCGCCGTCATCACTGCCTCTTGACTGAAAGAGGAAGAAAAAAAAATATGGCAGAGCGAGTCAGCGCCGCAGGTGCAGTGTTGCCAACTCAGCGACTTTTCAGACCCCTCCAGTGACTATTTTTCAAAACAGCGACTAGCGACAAATCTGGCGACTTTTTTCGGTGTCACTGGCGGCTTTTGGAGACTCTTACGTGAAAGCATGTATCGTTCCTACTCTGCCGTGGGGCGCCTCCCCCACACCAACCGCGTTTTCCCGCAGGACTCCCTCTCAGCGCTGCAGTCAGACCCTCAGTGTCCAGACTGCAAATGAAGCGCGCATGCACCGGGATTGACGGCACAAATTGATCACAATAATTAAAATAGCCTGCGCTTTGTAAAGCGAAAAAAGTGATAACTTGCAACTTTTTTCAAAAGAAATTAACATGGCACGGAAGCACCATGTTTGTTTGGTTTTAAAGTGGGGAAACGTAACGTTAGTTTCTCAGGTAGCTCATCTGATGCTTTCCTTACCGTGTTAGTAGGTTACAGACAGTGATAAGGTTGGCTACTTATTTTACTTTTAATTTCATTTGAATTAGCTTAAGCAGCGTTTATATTTTCTTTATAAATAAATTAACTTGCAAATTATGAGGGCAAGGCTTTTAAAGTTTAAATCTTCTGGCAAAGATAAAGTAAAGAAGATCCTGCAATTTATGGAAGTAAAGCAGAATAAAATCCAGCAAGATCAGTAATATGTCAATTAATTATCTGCCACATTCCCATGTAAATATCTGTCTTTGGAGGATGTGTTTTTTAGCACCCCTAGTTCTCTCATTTTTATTCCAAATACAATTTATAATTTGAATCACAGGGCTATTTTTATCTCTATGGTTCAGTATTTTCTCAAGTAGCAACTTTAACTGCTATACTTTCCTGTCTTAAAAAGGCAGAGCTCTTCTAGTCTAAAAAAACTCATTTGTTGAAAAGGGGGGACCTATTTTTTGAACCCCTTAGGGGCTTTTAAAAACAAAAATGTCTTTTTTGTGCTTTATGAAACAAAGTAGCCTATATTTTGTGGATGTACAGCTACATTTCTCATGTAAGTTTGCATAGTTTTAACACAAACATTTATTTTTCATATTGCACCAGTACAGTGATTGAGCAACCTGTACTTGTGTGCTTGTTTGTTCTGTCTAAAATGTTTATTTTGGAATAAAGAGGTTAATATAAAAAATATTTTTTGTCCGATTCATCGATTAAGCGAAAAAATAATCGTCCGATTCATCGATTTTTAAAATAATCATTAGTTGCAGCCCTAATATATATGGGCAACTTGGCGTTTCTTGTGATTGAATTGACATAAAGTTTTGCCATCAAAATATCCATATTTTTTTTATGTTACAAAGGTAATAAGGTCCTTTCCTGGAGTCCAATAACACTATTGGCTTGAAATTTGGATTCTCACGGAGTGTCCTATAAAGGGTTAAGTTACAGTGAAAGTGCGTCTGCAGTTGCAATGATAAGTGTTATCCATATAGTTCTGGTTGGAAGGAGGATGCTTCTCCGTGCCATTGCATTCAGAATCTCCTGGTGTTCTCAGCTGCTGCTAAAATTGATATGGTTTCCAAAAACTATTTTGTGTAACAGACTGTATTGACACAATCCACCTCATTTATTATTTATTATTTTCCAACATGTGCTCTGTTCGAAACATGCTAATATCTTTACCATCTTAGGTTTGAGGTTATAAAATGGGGAGCGTCAGCCATCTTTTACTGTCGTCGAGAGCAGTTGTACTCAACTTTTTTTTTTTCTTTGACTTCTCGAGATAATGATATAACCATCTCGTTATCACGACAAATATTGATTGATTTCTTGAGATAACGACATGATTAACCTGTATAAGTCATGAATGAGGCTGGCCAACAGCCCTGGATTCCCAGTCCATCCATTCCTGCGGGGCCTGTAGTTGTGCAGTCACGGTACCCCATGTGAACAAATAAGCAGTTTTTTTAGTTTCCGTTTTCTTTTCACTCATTGTCAGGTCACGCTGGGTGATTGGATTGCATGGGATACAGTAAAAACAAAATAAATCTGACTGTTTTTTTTAAATGAAAATCTTCAATCTAGACTAATTTTTGGGGTTAATGTATCTTATACCTGTTACAGGTGTACACTTGGGCTATTCTGGGCTGTTTCAGAAAACACGCGTAGCTAAGGAGGAATAGGTCTAATTGCTTATGAATCAGAAGAGGAGGCAAATCATCAAACCAACCACTGCATGAAAAGTGAGATTTTCGTCCCCGTAAACCCCCGTAAGCTCCCGCAGATCTGCCTGATTTTCGTCAGTTTCCGACAATTTGCAACCCGTGCTTGTCCGCGTTTGTCGTGCCACAAATTGTTGGAAACGGACTCTGACGTATGTGGAGAGCGATCAGCTGTACTAATGGCCCTAATTAGCATATGAATGCAGCAAACCCGCGCGGCTGGCCAGGTCTGGCTTGAATAACCTTCTCAGTATTGGCTGAAACCACTATTCTCAAACAAATGAAATCGCTCGTGATTGGCAGCAAAACCACACGTGGCCACGCCAGGCTTTAATTTTCTTACTGAGTATTGGACGGAACCACTTCTTTTTAAACAAGTAAAGTCGCTCGTGATTGGTTGGCATATATATATATTTACATATAAATTTACATATATATATTTATTCATATATATATATATTTATTCATATATATATATATATATATATATATATATATATATATATATATATATATATATATATATATATATATATATATATTGTAAAGGAAGAAAATATTCTAACATAGTTAACTTTGGAAAAAGGTTGGCTTTTCATTTTCTTCCCTCTCCAGGTCCACCCGGCGAGCTGCGTTTGGTAATAAAAACCAACATTGCGTGTTGACGTCACAGAATTACAGAGTTTAATCCAATATAAGACAATGCATAAACTTAGAAATAAGACAATGCACAAACCTACACCAGAAACTGCAGAACAACAGAGACATACATTCCATTACCTGACATAGGAGGAAAGAAAGCAAAGACGTACAAGACATCTTTGGAGAGTTTGCAAGGGCAAAATCTGATCTGTAACTTCTATTTAGAAAGCTTTATCCTCTTGTATCTAATCCATTCAAAAAGGGCTGGCCCTCGGTCCTCCAACCAGGAGCCATCTCTGACACTGAGCTTCACCTAATTTACTGCAAACATCTGGGGTCATTTGCTTCTTTGTTTTAACAAGAAAAGGCGGAAAGCTTGTCCTGGCATCTAGAATTCTTAGGGTCATAAAACACAAGATAAGGTCAGTTGTGGAATGCTGGCCTCTTCCTGATTCAGTTTTCACAGCATCCCTGGTTGTTTATTCTGGAAGACTTTTGACCTTCTGTAAACCAAGCAGAAATCTCTCCTGCAGGCTTAAATAATGTTCGCCCCCAGGAGATACTAATTTCATGGCCTGGTGCTCTAAATACTTACCCCTCAATAGCCTAGTTTTAAATCATTAACACAACCTTGTTCAAAATTAAGAAATGTTCAAGTGAGAGTGTTTACACATGCCATAAGATTAACTGTAAAATAATAATT